GAGTACAATTTCAAGTGTGATAGAAGTTATCGTGACTACAAAATAATAAAAAAAACACAGAAGAAAGAAAAACTTGGCTGTCAGTATTTCATTTCGTTGTCTGATCTGAGTTACGGCGCTAAGAGCCGCGGGTTCAAATCCACGGAACAAGTATTTACATAGCCTATATGTAATTGGTCCGGGTCAAGATGTTTGTCCTTGTGCAATTTATGTATGCAAACTGCCTCTACGAATCAAGAGAAAATCCTAGTGTAGCGGTTACGTTTTTTTAATGTCTATATTGAGAGCTTAAGGTAAATTACTCTTTGAACTCCTTTTAAGTTTAATCAAGTTTTGAAATACCTACCTATCGAGAAAGTTTATTAACTTTGTACAGGAGTTTCAATTACAATATTAATGTATTTTAAAATATACACCCTTTTAAAATTTACGTTTCATTATAAATACTTCGACATATATTACCTTTCTTAGGAATGGTGGAAAATGTATTCAGAAAACAAAAAAAAATTATACATACAAGTGACAAAGGACTAACAGACCTACAAACATCATTAAACAAAAAAAGCGAAGATGGTATCCTTGAGGACTAAAATGAAATACTTTGCAGCCTGTATAAATAATAGCTTGCTAGTGTGCCTACCTAAAAATTGTTAGGCTGAAAAAAAAACTCTTTTACCAAGTAAGTGGCTTTAACTTTATAGAGCCTTGCTGCAACCGTTGAGGCCCGTGCTTTCATAGAGTACCAGCTTAAGCAACGTAACGCTGCTGTGTTTCATATGGTGAATGACGAAAACCCATTTTTGTTATGCCCTTTAACATTATTATATTTGATCAGATATTAAAGCAAATTAGATTACCCATGTAGTGGCGCTATAATTTTGCTACAACAAGCAGAAATCGATTGACTATCAACACCTAAATCGCACTAACGAAATTTCCGAACACTCCGCGGCTTATACACATACTAGGCACGCTATAAGCACCCAAATAAAATTCTAAGCCAATAGTACATTGCGCATTCAGTTAAACTCTATAGTGGGTCTAAAATGGACATGTAGTGTCTAAGTCCAAGACGGTGACATATTATCTGTCTGATGACGCTGCTATCATAGCCTAAAATAAATACAAATAATTTTATGAAAATAAGTGACCCACACTAGTGGTTTTTCTTGTATTGTGGAGGCTTTTAATATACATAAATTACTTATAGACAAACACCCGGACTCGCAACAATTATTTGCAAGCTATAACAACACTTGTTCCTGTGTTAGGTGTATTTGTTTTTTTTTTCTGCATTGGCTATTCTACCCACCGAATGACGATAGCAAATCCTTCGAAATTTTAGGTAGTTTATTTTAGTTTCTTTTTAGTTTTTACGTGTGGAGCAATGTTGCAGCTAAATTAAGATTGTAGCAAAAATGGGTCAGCTCTATCGGGGAAGAACCACGCTCTCACAGGATACCAGCGTAAAATAGCAGCATAATTCTGCTGTGTTTCGTAGGGTGAGTGTAAAGAACCCGAGACCCATTTTACTGGAAAAGAGGCATTCCATCTTAGTCCTCACGGGTAACAACGCATCTGCATTTTGATTCTTCATTGAGGATAAATGTAGATGTTTATAGGTCACAGCAACCACTTACCATAAGGTGGACTGTGTGCTCGTTTGTCACCCTATCCTATAAAAAATTCGAAAATCGTTTCTTTTATCAGCTTTTTGTTTTTTTTTTTTTTTCAATAAATTATCTTCAAGCTTTTCGGACAAAATAGCCTAGATCCCTCCAGCATTGCTCTCTATCTTTTCGTGAAGTTTCATTACTATCGGTTTAGCTATTTCAAAGATTAGCTCGGACATACAATGCACAAAGACCGACAGACAGACAGACCGACAAAAATTTTTTGAAAATGGTTATACATGTCTTCATGTCATGCAAATGCTCCTGAGCTAAATATAAAGCAGTTATTTCGATATTTCCAACAGACACTTTAATTTTATTTACATATATTAATGCTGTACGAGTTGATTTACTGCTGACGATAAGCAGCAATTTTTTATAGCAAATCGATGATCAAAAACATCAACTCAATCTCTTCATTCTGTACATGTTATTTCGTTATACATGCGGCACGGTCTTATATAGTACTTACTGTTTTTATATTGTAAAAAATATTGGGAATGGAGTTAAAACTAAACTACGTAAAGATTACAAATAACTTAAAAACGGTTATTTCTATATATTAGTAAATTCATTTAAAAGAGATTCATACGAGTTATAGTTACAACGAAACATTCCTAACTACATTACAAATATTAACTCAAACAAAACAATTAAAGTTTGTTCAACAGTATACAACAGAACGTTTACCAAAGACAAACTTCCTACTTGTTCTTAATGCAACAGACAACGTTCGGTCTATATCTCAAATAGGTAATGACGAACGTGCAAAAGCAAAATTCAACGTCTTACAACGCGTTACAAAGAAAATAAATAGGAATTATTTAGACATTTTTCTCGCTGCAAAAAAAGCTAAAGGTTAAAACAATAAAAAAATTGAAGCGTTTTTAAACGGTTTCGTTTTAAATGGCAGTTAAAGATAAAAAAATAACATAGGTATCTAAAAGACTGACAGGGTACGCGCTTTGAGCGTTGCAAAAAAGGGTCGAGATATTCCTCTGAATTGGGCACTTTTTTTGGAACTAACCTGTGGAGTGATCTTTTGTATCAAGTGTATGGGTAACTTTAAATGCATTTGAACTTGTAATCACTACACAAATCTCTTTAAACTAGGTAAGAGACATCATTTTATTTTATTGCGCGGATTTTGGGAAATAATTTTTGACACCTTTATATAGAAATTTACAACGCTCTAAGAACTGCTCTTGAAGCTTCTAGAGTCGGTGATAAGATAAACTATATCAAAGAATTGACAACTAGAATTCTGTCTATATAGTAACAAACCCCATTCAAGTATTTCTTTTTACTAAGGTTGATAAATGAGAACACATTTCACCTGATGGTAAGTGAATACAGTGGCCCATAGACATCTGCATTTTATCCTCGATTAAGAATTAAAATGCAGCTACGTTGTCACCCCTGATGACTAAGATGAAATGCCTCGTTTTCATTTAAAAGGATCTCCGGTTCTCTACACTCACTTTACGAAACACAGCAGCAACAAGCTATTATTTTACGCTGGTATTCTGTAAAATCGTGATAATATTCCGGTGGTACCAATCCATTTGTGCTACAACTATAATTATAGCTTCAGCGTACCCTCGTCCAACCACGTCAAAACTTTATCTTTTTCTGTGTGATTGCTTATCTAATGCTGTGTCAATAAGAGTAGCACAAAGTTGGTTCAAGCGTTTTCAGTCCGAGAATTTTGATGTCAAAGATGCCGCTCACTCTGTTGCCGCAATTTTTGAAAAAGTGGAGCAATATAGGCGTATTCGTATTTATAATATAGCAGAGGCATCGAAGTTTGACCATATAGTAGTTTTAAACCATTTCTCTACAAAAGTCTGGCTATACAAAAATGCTCGGCATTTGGGTACCACATGAGCTCACTAAACGAAATCTAATGAATTGTGTACTCATATGCGGTTCTCTATAGAAACGTAATGAAATCGAACCATTTTTGAAAAGATTGATCGCCGGTGATGAAAAATGGATCATATACGACAAGAACGTGCGAGAAATATCATGGTCAAAAAGAAGTCAAGCTCCACAGACTGTAGCAAAACTAACTGTAGCAAAAACAAGCAATAAGGTGATGCTGTGTGTATGGTGGGATTGGAAGGGCATCGTTTACTATGTGATTTTAAGAGCCGTGGTAGCTCAGATGGTTAGCGCTCGCTGTAAATTTCACGGTACGCGAGCAAACCGGGTTCGGTCCCCGCCGGCACCAATGAAATTGTTGATTGCAATTTTAAGTACTGATTTACCACGTGCTCGGCGGTGCGCTGAAGGAAAACATCGTGAGGAAACCTGCATGTCTGAGAAATAAGAAAAAAACATTTTCGAAGACATGTGAAGTTCGCCAACACGTATTGGGGCAGCGAGGCGGACACTTCCTTGCCCTAAAACCCTCTCAGAAATGAGGGAGGCCTGTGCCCAGTAGTAGGACGTATATAGGCTGTAAGTTTACCTTTACTTTACTTTACCATGAGGCAATACCATCGATTCGGATATCTACCGCTAATAACTAATGAGACTCGAGCAAGAAATAGAAAAAAAAATAGCTCGAATTGATTAATAGAATAGGAGTCGCCTTTCATCATGATAACGCCAGACTAGATCGTCACATGGTAGAGCCATGCTGCAGCTATTAGTAGTATAGTTTTAGCACGAATGGGTCGGCTCGACCGGGGAAGGACCGCGCTTTCACAGAATACCAGCGAAAAATAGCAGCTTTCGTATGGTGAGTGTAAAGAACCGGAGACCCATTTTACTGCAAAAGGGGCATTCCATCTTAGCCCTTACGGGTAACGACGCATCTGCATTTTGATTCTTCATTGAGGATAAATGTAGATGTCTTTGGGCCACAGCAACCACTTACCATCAGATGGACTGTGTGCTCGTTTGTCACCCTCACCCTATTAAAAAAAGACTACAAACATATTTGGCCATTTAGCAAAAATTGAGAGAGCTTGGTTGGTAAGTGTTAATGCATCCGCCATATAGTAGTAGTATAGACCTTGCACCATCAGGTTTTCACATGTTTCGGTCTCTTCAAAATTCTTTGAGTTATGTTAGGTTAACATCAAGAGACGACTGTCAAAACTAATAAAACGAGTTGAATAGCTTTGAACAGACTAACGTTTTATTTCATATGTAAGCTTTACATAGGTAGGTAGGTACATTTTACATAGCTATAGAGTGAATGATAGAATGGTAGACCTTTATTAATGATAGATGGCGTTACTAGGCAGTTTCTCTCTTCTTGTTAATTTCAATACAAAACTAACACCACCACTTATTGAAATAAACAAAATAAAAACACTACTTCAATTCAACAATGCCTATTTTTTCCATAAATTTGTGATGCTTAACTTTACACAGACTCTTAGTAAAAATATCAGCTGGCATTTCTAATGTATTCAAGTATTCGAACCTTACTAACTTTCTTTCAACAGCTTCTCTTATAAAATGAAATTTTACATCTATATGTTTACTCCGTCTGTGATACATACTGTTATCAGTTAATTTTTGGGCACTCTGACTATCATTACACAATATTATTGGCTCAATAGTACTACTTTTGCTAACAATTAAATCTGTAAGCAGATTTTTCAGAAAAATTGCTTCCTTGCTGGCTTCACAGATAGCCATGTATTCAGCTTTTGTGCTGGAAAGCGCCACTGTTTGCTGCTTTCTAAATTCGTGAGAAACTACACAACCTGAGTACAAAAAACAGTATCCAGTAAACGAACTCCTATCTACAGAATTTGAGCCCCAATCAGCATCTACAAAGCCAATTAGATCTAAATTGTTTTTTACATATACCAAACCAAAATCTCTTGTGGCACTTAGATATCTCAGAACTATTCTTGCATGTTTCCAATGCGTTTCCGAATTACAGTTATTGAACTGGCTTAGGTAACTAACTGAGTATGAGATATCTGGTCTCGTTAGAACGGAAAGATACATGAGACTTCCAATCAATTGTTGATAAGGATTGGTACTAGTCACATTGTTATCTTTTTCTAGTTTTAAATTTACGTCCATAGGGGTCTCTATACCATTACAATTTTGCATGTAAAATTTACACAATAGTTCCTCGATAAACTTTGTCTGATTAACACATAATTTGCCTTTTTTGATAACAACATTCATTCTTAAACACTGCCTTAATTGACCTAAATCTTTCAACTTAAATTTAGAACTTAGCTGGGCTTTTAGGTAATCTACTTCTCTGTTATAATTTGAAAATATGAAAAAATCATCAAAAATATAGCAATAAAGGTTTTTTCTTTTACAGATATTTTAACAAATAAACAGGGTTCATACAGGGATTTCTTATAACCTAACTCTTGTAAATAATTTCCAAACTTTTTATACCATGCTCTAGCTGACTGCTTTAACCCATAAATCGCCTTTTAATCGGGTTATGTTTAAGTCTAAGTTAACACTTATACCAAATAACAATTTTAAAGTAGAGTATCTTAGAACCGGTGAAAAAGTTTCCTTATAGTCAATTCCTTGTTTTAGTGTATAACCTTTTGCAACCAATCTGGCCCTATATCTCACTGTGTTATCACTATTTAACTTCCTTTTAAAGACCCATTTACACTGCACAACACGCGCATCACTAGGTTTGTCCACTAAGTCCCATGCGTCGTTATCGCGGAACGATTGCAATTCGTCTTCCATTGCTTTATACCACTCTTCTCGTTCAGTATCATTGATAACATTTTCATAGGTAAGACATTCATTACCTATATTTTCATCCTCAATTACGCATACATTACTGAAACCATATCTCTGGGGTGGTTTTATCACACGCATTCTTAGTTTGCTCACGGGCTCAGGATACTTTACATCCTCTATCTCGCTGGTACACTCCTCAAAATTTAAAGAATTGGTTGATATGTCTGATCTTTCTTCTTCACTAGGTATGTTTGTCTCGTCTCTCAGATTTTCTGCTGTCACATTGCTATCGTCGATTGTGAGAGTTTGGTCCATCTCTGCAGGCCTATCTGATTATTCTTCTTCCTTTTCTGTAACTTCCTCCTATTTATTCTCCACCACTGCTTGTACCATTTCTGAGTCTTTACTGGCCTCTATGATAACAACATCTCTGCTGGTAAGACCACAGACATCCGCATGCACCACTTCTAACACAACTTCGCTTCTAATACCTTTGTGTGAGAATGGCAGTCTCGTCAGCTTCCCTTCACAGCACGTGACACACTGGGATCTGTCAATTTCTGCCTTATAGGGATAAGTTATCCCCATTACAACGCCATTTTTTATATTATTTAGATCCTTGCGTTTATGTGGCCTAACCTCCTATGCACTAACATACTTGTGTCTTGCATTGCTGAGTCAGATAATAAACATTGCTGCTTCACATTAAGTCTGTATACTCCATTCACTAAATGGGCTTCTCCAACAATGACATTCTTTTGATTGCGTATTCTGCAAATCCTTCCATCGATCGTCACTTTGTTCCCATTTCTAATCAACTCACTAACAGAGAGAAGGTTAGGAGTGAGGTTAGGAATGCACATGACATTTGTAACCTTAATGTTGAACTCTGAACCTTTTACAACTGTCGTCAACATGGTGTTTCCTGAGCATAACACTGATACTGATGTATCATTTGCTATTACAATTCGTTTCATGGTCGGGGTGTAGGAAATATCAAATAAACTTTCTTTGTCAGCGATCATATGAGCGCTGGCAACAGAATCAATGTACCAATCTGTCTTCTTGTACGCCGAACTCAAGTAAAACGCGTTGAAAACTGCACTTTCTTTGTCTTTACTTTTGTTATTGCACTGATTTTTATAATGTCCGATTTGTTTACATTTATAGCAGCAAATTGTTTTCAATGGCGTCTTTGCCTTTGACGTTTCAGAGTTACTAATATTGCCTTGTTGCTTTTTACGATGCTGCCAACTTTTCGACATAAATGCACTAACATTCTCGGTGCTGCCAACCTCTGCGCTCATATCTAACAATTTCGACTTGATAAAATCTGTACTGACCGCCATTCCAGAATGTTCGATGGCCATTATCATTGGCGAAAACTTTTTACTTAATCCCGCCAAAAGTAAACACCCGACGCACTCGTCAGTAATCTCAAATCCGGTTCCTCGTAGTTTATTCGCCGTATCCAATATTTTAATTACGTAGACAGTCATGGATTCGCAATATTCTAGGCTAGGGAGATTTTCCTTTTGAATCCAGAATCATCTAAGAGTAGTTTCAGAATAGTTTCAAAATACTGCCACACACCCCGGACAGTAGTTTCATTCTTAATATTGACATAAAGCAATGAATCAATTATCATAATTAATTTTGCTTTAGCCTTTTTCTCGCAATCCGTAGCGGCGGCGGCTTCGGCGTCGGTGTCGGCAGCGGCTGCTGCTGCGGTTTCTGGCTTCACGTTTATATCCAATCCTTCCAGAATTAGGAAATTTTCTGCAGCGAACGCCCACTCGTCATAGTTTTCACATCCCTTGAGTTTTGGCACGTCTGCAATGTAACTGCCGGCCATTGTTCAAGTGTGTTCAAAACGTAACACAAATACGACAAAAAGTTCTAATCTGAACAACTTCTAGTCCAATCCACAACAGTTCACTATTTACTATTGTTAACTGTTATTCAGTGGCTTTTAGAACGAAAACGAGTACTTATTTCTCCGAAAATATGAGTCTGGGCCCATAACCTAATAAAACGAGTTGAATAGCTTTGAACAGACTAACGTTTTATTTCATAGGTAAGATTTACATAGGTACATTTCACATAGCTATAGAGTAAATGATAGAAAGGTAGACATTTATTGACGATAGATGGCGTTACTAGGCAGTTTCTCTCTTCTTGTTAATTTCAATACAAAACTAACAAAAACTACTTTTCGCATTTTTTGAGCAAAAATCCCAAGATTTCTACAGCAACGAGATTATGTCACTACCTACAAAATGGCAACAAGTTATCGAATAAAATGGCACATATATTTTTTTATTATCCTGACCCAATATTACATTATGGGCTGATTTTCCAATTGTCAGACAAAAGTTATCCATCAAATGAATTATAAACTTACTGAATATAAAAGTGAAACAATTGATCTGTTTTACTTGTAAAATTGTAATTTTTAATTTGTTTCAAGTTGTATTTATTTTATAAGTAACTTTTTATTTGTAGAATAAAAAGTCGGCACTTATAAGATTTTTTAAAAGTTTTATCTTACATATTTTATGCAATCGTACTAGCTCTATAATAAACGCAAAATATGTTTTACCAAAAAAAAAAGTGGAATATATTTTTTTCAAGAGGAACTAACTTCCAACTTGATTTTTGCTGTGCTCATTTCACAATATTTCATTCCGATTATTCAAAACGTAGGAAAGTGTGGACATAATATCTTTTTTTTATAAATGGTTACCTCCACACTAGGATTTTCTCCTTTATCGTGGGGTCTAAGTCGTTTATGTTAAATCAATGCTGAACTTTCAGTTTAAATGATATTTGTTACATTCAGTTCAACTATTTTGGATTAACTCATTTGTAAAACTCGGTCGGCCGTGACTTTTAATTTTTAATTAAAATGTTATATCTCTCGTGCATAGCTACATCTGAAGCAAAAACTACAATGATAGCAAGAATTATATATAATTTTCGTATACGTTTCATTGTTATAGTGAGCTATAAAAATATTTGATAAGGTTTGATTTTTATAAACGGTGAAATATAAAAGTTATTTATATTATTAAAAAACGTATGTGTATACTTAGGAGTATGTACGCACGTAGGAAGTTATACTTCTTTAGCGAAACAAAACAGAAATAACTAACTTAAATATAGTTATCAGTTCCCACGAAAACGAAAGACAGTTACCCAATAAAGTTGTCGCTTTGAGGTGTCAGTGTGCCCCAAAAGAAGTATAAATTCAATAAATTTTGAAAAACAGATTTATTTTAAACTACATTAATTTTAAATTTAAATGAAAATTTGAACTAAGAATGCATTAGAAGCTTACATAGATTTTACCCGCACTGTATTTTGTAATGGAATCAGAATCATTTTTCATTTACCTACTAGTCTGGAAGTTAACATTGACAAGTTTCCTCCCGAGAATGTGGTAAGTCGGAACACGCCGGGGGATTTACGGGCCATTCTGGTAATGTATGTGATAAATAATGAATGTTGTCGTCATTTAGATGTGTTTGCTTACAGATCGGTTACTTGGTGTTTAAAGTCATGTAACAGTAATGATTATTTTACGTCTCATTACTTTGAAGAGACTTCATTCTCATCATCATCATTAACATAATAAGAGCCCATTGAAAGTTGTTGAACATAGGCCAGAGTCTCGTGTATCCATAGACTACAAGAAAATTAAATACTTTAAAGGTATGGATTTATTCGTTGTCCACTAACTTCGTCAAGTAGTTACTACCATAGAAATTGTCACAAGACATTTTTTCGGTCCAATTTTACAAATGAACGAACAAGAAAAGTGTTTACTACTTCCTCAAAGGCCAGCAACGCACTTTCGATCGCTCTGGCATTGCAAGCACAAAGTATTTTATTGCAATCTGGATATCCGTCCCAGGCTCGCACGAGTGATTTTTGAATCTCGACAACAGCAACACCTACTGGGTCCAATTTTAAGTATAAAATATCCAAAGATCCACTCAAATACACACAATTTTTTATATCAAAATCTTTCGAGCCATTTACGTATTTTAATGGGACTAACGGTTCTATCGAACTTTTTATTGACTTTTATATATTATAGAGACCGAGATGATCAGTTCCGGTTCAGTTTAGTTATGCTGAGCTGTAGATGAAATTAAATTTTTATGATAAAATTGTCGCAAAATGTATATAATTCGAATATTAAATTTACAATTTTTGATGTTTATATTGTTTGATAATTTATTTCGTACATTACATACCTAGTTTTTCAAGATATTGTTATCACTTTGCAACAGTATACCCACTGCTGTTTTCATATAGGGTCGGGGAAAGAGTTTCTTCGTATTTCATATACAAATTAAAGACATTTTTTAAAGTATAATTACCTTTGATTATAATGATTTCTTATACATATTTACGCGAACACTACATATTGAATAAAACGAATTACGGATTCTATCACGTTTAATTAGCTTACTTTTTATTTATATTAAATTCGAAACGTTTCGGGTGCTTTACATCACCCATGGTCACGGTCACTTCAGGGCCCTGGTGAAGGAGAATCCCTCGCTGAGCATCCCCGATCAAGCTATCCTACTTTTCTTGAGCGTAGGTGCTCAGGATACTCCGCGTATTCTTAGGCAACATTCCGCTCGCGACTAAAACTGCTTGGGGCAAGCGGAGCAATAAGACTAAGGCAACCCCTGTCACGCTATCTGTGAATTTTTGCAACATCACGGGACTTCATTCCAAACTTAACGCTGTCCACTTGCATCTGGAGACGGCACAGCCGGCCTTACTCTTTTTAACCGAGACTCAGGTGTCCTCTCCGGCTGATACTTCATATCTTTCCTACCCGGGTTACAAATTAGAACACTCCTTTATGCCCCAAGTTGGAGTTTGCGTATACTTCAGAGAGGACATTTATTTTCGACGCCTCGGCAGCCTTGAAGGTACGGACTTGTCCATTCTATGGTTGCGCGTTGACAGCGACGATCATTTGCGCGTCTACAGGTGACTCTATAGGCCCCGTAGCGATAATGCCGAAACAGGTCGACTCATCGCTCAAGTCCAAATGGCTAAAAATTCCTTGTTACAGCAGATCCCATCCGCAGATTTTAACGCCCACCACGCCGAATGGCACGGTTAACGTTCAACCGATCATGTGGGGAGATGACTTTGCCTTGGTATATGGTTTTACACAGCTGATTACTTCGCCTACGTGAATTCCAGATGTGGAGGATCATGCACCTTCCCTGTTGGACCTTCTTCTGGCCTCTCATCAAGACGGGTATCAGGTGTCCGTCGAGGCT